ATGGAGATTCTTACCCTAAAGTTCGTGTTGTCAAACTTTATTCGGATAGGTGCGGTGGACAGAATCATAATATTACAATGTGCATGACAATGAGCCTTTTCATTGAGGAGTGCAAAAGAGCAAACCGAGAAATGACCATTCAGCATAACTTTATGGTCAGTGGCCATAGCCATATGGACTCTGTACACGCTGCCATTGAGCGGGCCAAGAAGCAGAACACGATGGATATTGAAACGCCGCGGGACTGGGCGGTTTTATATCCCAGGTTAAAAGAAAAATTCCGTTCAATGTTACGGAATTAGAGCAAAGCGATTTTTTCGCTTTAAAATCGCTTGAAGCCAGATATAAACACCCAAAGCATAACTCGTCAGGACACCTAATCAAATTCCAACAAATCATGAAGTTTGAATACCGCACTGCCTCTCCTGGCGTTGTATTTTATAAAACGAATATTAAGGAACAAGACTTCTCTAGTTTCGCTTTGGGCGATGAGAAAGTATTTCACATAGATATGCCTCTCCCTCAGCTTTTGCTAATAGAAAAAGAACCGATTTCATTACCCAAGGAGAAGCTGGATGATCTTAAAAAGTTGATGCCATTCATTCAGAACAAGCAGTATTATGACACGTACTTAAAAATCTCGTGGCACCAAAACGAGGCAGAAAAAGAAAACTGATTGAAAAAGACTTCGATGCTGATTTGGATCCAAACACCGACGACTGGCCAGTGGAATATTTAGAGGCAGTCGACAACGAGTGGCCTATGTAGTACAAATTACTCACTGGTTTCCCAGCAAAACCAAACCCAAACAACCGTTCTACAATTATTGTTCAGCATTGTCATCAATCGTTATCCACATATATCAATACAAATACAATTTATTAAATAAAATATGTTGAACGTTACAAATCTAACTCTTATTAGTGCAGTCCGTAGTCTTATAACGGAAAACATTATCAGTCTAACTTTCCGCTTTCTTCATTGATCGACACGTTGGTTATAGCTTATAGCTATAGCTTATAATAACAATCTTGATTAATAGCTTATAATAACAATCTTGATTTCTATTTTTCTGCCCGTTCTACAATTTTTTCAACGGTATTTTCGGTGATGAAACTGCTTTTTCTGAACAATACGATAGGGGCGGTCCATAGCCTGTGCATCCATTTAAGGGTGCCAGTTGGAATCGTAGATGACTAAATCGTCGGCCGTATCGGCCAATTAATACCCAACACATATACACCGGTTTTATCACAATAAATAAAGAATTCAAAACAACCTGCAGCTAATCAAAAAAGATCTAATGAAAATGCCATGTAAATAAAGGTTCAACTAAAAGGTTCTTACTAAAATTAAAAACAAAATACGTGCTAACAGAAAGGGTCTAACTCAGGGTAACGAGTATAAAGGGACTATTACGGTTTATTTTCACATTTTCGCATTTTTTACATGTTGGTAGTGGATTTTCGACGGATATGATGCATGATATTTAAAGCTTTAGTTTTTGTGCTTCTTTTAGCTTTCCTTAATGTTTTCTATAATGTTACTGTTTTAAAAAGGATTTGAAAATTTAAACCGAAATTTGAAATTTATTTTTTTTTCAAAACTGTCAAATTCTAGATAGGCCCTTCTGACATGTTACTCCAGATTTAACGTCGGTCTCTGTTCCGCAATCTAGTACCAATCACCGACGGACATCAATTGCCATCCATTGACGGCAATCGAATGTGCAGGAAGGCAGCTTCCACACCTGCTTAGGATATCGCACCCATTCAAACACACATGGGCCGGGACCAACGGCTTTACTTCCCTTCCGAAGGAAAACGTGACCAGAGATTTTTATGCCTCAGAAAAATCCCACCGACCTCGGCTGGGATTGAACCCAGACCCATTGGGGTGAGAAAGCTGTCAACCTTACCACTACACCACCGGTGCCGGCCGATGACATCTCAATAACGACTGAACCGATTGTTATGAAATTTTGCACATGTAAACAATTCACTCCAAACTAGTTATACCCAGATTTTCATCTATTTTTACCCACGGATAAAAAAGTTACACACGGATAAAAATGGTGTTTTTCGAGTACAAGCCTTAGCTGTAGTTCCTGGTATTCCAGAAAAGTATTCAAACATATCCCGTTCGAAGTTTCATATTTTGAGATTTCACTTTCCACAATTTTGTAAAGTAATGCAATCGGCTACTCGATCGGCTAAGGGGCCTCCCTTAGCCCAGTCGGTAAAGGCGCAGCTACAAAGCAAGACCATGCTGGAGGTGGCTGGGTTCGACTCCCGGTCCGGTCTAGGAATCTTCCGGGTTGGAAAATTTCTCGACTTCCCTGTGACATATATATGATTGTTCTTGCCCCACAATTATACTAATGCAAAGATGGTACAGGCATCGAAAGCTCTCAATTAATAACTGTGGAAATGCATCTAGAACACTAACTTGAGAGCACGCAATAAGCTAATTTGCGATATTCAATAAGCTTGAAATGCGAAGAAAGTTTTTGGAAAGTTCAGTGAACAAACTACCGAGACTATTCATTTTACTTTTCTACGGCTTGGGATAGAGTTACGGAGCTAGAATCCGAATTGCCGGGCCGTTTGTTTAACTCCTGCCATCAGATTCTGTACAGCCATCTCGTCCACTTTGTTCGCCGCAGAACGCCAGTTTGCCTTAAACTGCTTCTCGCTTCCAACAGTTTTTTTTGCGTCTTCTTCAGGTTCCGCTTGACGATGGCCCAATATTTTTCGATTGGGCGGAGCTCTGGTGTGTTGGTACACACTTAGAAGAAATCACCGAATTCTCAACAGCTGAACGGTCGATAATGTTTTCGGTAATCGAGAACATTACTGAAAAATCTGTAAACTGGATCAGCAAAATTAGCTGTCAAATTTACCGAACGATTGGTAACGTTTACCGATGTGCATTGCTTGGTTTGTAGTCGACTTTACCGGAGAACTGTAATTTTGAGGACGATATGCAAATCAAAAATTAGCGAACGATCTGTAACTTTTTAAAAAGGTAACCCACTCAACTGTAATTTGCTTTAATATTGTTTCAAGGTGGCGGTCACTGCAATCCATGCAAAAATTTGGCTGCAGTCGTGATCAATGTGTTAGTATTGCAAATTGCTCCACCAATGAACAAAAACAAGTTTTTGTCGGAAGGATTCGGCGCTACACTGAAAACAGGGATGCATTGGATGAAGATTCAAAATGCTGTTTTCAGATCGTAACCAACGGGAATGCAACTTGAACCGACAGAAAAAAACAAGCAACAACATCGGCCATCTGTAATCGGTATTTATTTAGATAACTAAAATTAATTACTTACGGAAAATATCTACGATTCGCTCATCTTGGTGCTGCATAACAGCCTCCATAATTTCACCTTTTTATTTTCCACAAACACGAACGTTTTTAAAGTCAATCGAAAATCACAATATGGTGGATTTGACGTTTACCGAGACCGTTACCGAACTCAGTAATGGAACGCTGTGTTTGCCGAAACCTCAGTGAAAAATTTCACCGAAGTCAGTGATGAAGCTGATTTACAGACCTGCCGGTAAAAATGTTTACCGAAATTCGATCATTTCATTTACAGTTTTCAGCAATAAAGCGAGAAAATACCGAAAAATCTGCAATTTTTAGCATTACCGATTTAAGACAGTATTTTTTTTTACCGAACTCAGGGTCTCTGTTTAAGTGTGTAGGGTTCTTGTCCTTGGGCGCCACTTGCACGTTGTTGGTGGCATACCACTCCATGGCCTTTTTTCCGTAATGGCAGGATGTCAAATCTGGTCAAAACAGCACGGAAAAATCGTGTTGCTTCAGGAAAGGCAGCAGACGTTGTTCCAGGTAAATGTCGCTTTCAAAGCCACAGGTACAGATAGCCTGCCAAACCAGATATTTCTTAGCGAACTTCGACAGTTTCATATGCTTGAAAATGTCTGCCACCTTTCCCCTTCCGGTTGCCGTATAAAACATCCCAGGAAGCTGTTTGAAGTCTGCCTTGACCTAGATTTCGTCGTCCATTAAAATGAAAAACTCCGTCAGCATCGTCGTGTTCAGCTTCCGGAATCGTGTTTCGGCCGTCTTGTCTTGATTTGGACTCACTACTTCGACCTTCGACAGTCCGACTCGTTTTTTTTTAGCTCGATGCACGATTGTAGACGACACTCCCAGCTTCTTTGCGACATCTCGGACGGAGAGGTTGGGGTCCCGCTTGAAACCGCTGGACACTCTTTTTGTCGTCGCTGCGGCTTCCGGCTTTCGATTTCTTCCCGATCCAGGCTTCCTGGCTGTCGACGAACATTCCCTACTGGTTGGTGAGAGATGTTTTGACCACGTTTCTTTTTCGGAGATGAACCAGCGTCTGGCTGAAAATCTCCCTAATAAAGACAATCAACCAACCAACCACTTTTAACGATTTCGCTAACTCGGCGTGCGTGCAAAATTTTGATGCGTTGCTCCTCTTGCTTGGACGCCATTTTGTTAACTGAAGAGCAAATGTCAAAATCAAAATATAGGCATCATTCTGCACGCACATACCTACAAAATGAGGGGTGTTCAGGTTTTTTTTTTAAATGCTCGATTAAAAGAAATGCGTCAAGTTTAAGTCGACCATACTTTGCTCGTAGCAAAGGGTACAATATTACTACTAGTTTTGCCAATTTCAACAAAATTGAAAATTGTTCTGTTTGTGGTTACTGAAAAACAAAAAAGTCTGTTGCCGAAAACGGAACAATGCCGTAGTATAAATAAAACCTGTCCAATGAAGATGATTGCATAACACCCAACAGCAACCATCTGTTGGTTCTCGGTGCAAGTACCAAGTAGCAACGACGGGCGGTCAATCTAGCTCCCCTCCCCCGCAAACCACTGCATCAAATGACTGCAATTTCAGCGCTGCTTTTAATTACGCAATCGCAATCTAAAATGTCATGACCATAATTAGCTAAGAGAAATCCTTTTCCTTTCCGTTTTCATTCACAGACCCGGAATGATGTGCCATCGGGCCAGAGGCATTATCCCAGCTAGTCGTCGGTGAAGCGGAAAAAGGAAAGCAAGAAAAGGCTCCCCCGAGCAGCGAGCAGCAAATCACAATCCTATCAGCACGGCACGCTAAAAAACGCCTACAACATTCCGAGTGAGCTTCAACGGTGTATAGTGTAGCACGTTACCGGAAGTGTGAAAGCGTGCGCTGCTTTCAACGGCGTGGAACAAAAGCTCTCGCGCCGCCGGAAGACAACATTTTAAAGCTGAACAGCAAGTCGGAGGGGGAAGAAGGAAGTTGGAATAACTGACTGGAAGTAGCAGGCTCTGCCTTTGTTGTTGGAGAGTTTCTCGCCGTCTGTCAAGGATTGCTTTTCCGCCCCCTCTGCCTGGTGGCCGCCTGCTTCGGTTTTGTTTGCGTGGTGAAAGGCTGAAGAAGTAGTAGAATAATAAGAAGAAGAAGCAGAAAAATAAGTGAACGACGTTGTGTGACATACGTATACGATTGTGGGTGTGTTCCGTGGAAGTACCCAGCTGCTTTCCGATGCCTTCAGGGTTGACCAGAAATGTATGTGTGTGTCGTGTTTGTTCCTTGATTATATAGGATGGGAGGCGGAAGGGAGGAAGGACATCTAATTGGAATCTTAACAATCTTTTCAGTCATCATCGCCGTCGCTTCCCCATCTAGGAAGGTTAGGTGGAAAAACGCACGTCAGGAATTTGTCGTTGGGGGAAATGTGTGCGGACGCGTTAAGTGGGTGAGAGTATAGTTCTGACATATCTGGTTCCCTTTGCCGGTACAGTACGCTTCCGTTAGTTTGCGATATCGACGGTGGATTACATCACGTGTACATTTGAATCACACTAACGGAACCTGTACCGTTCAACCAGCTCCAGCAGCATGTGAGGATGTTTTTGAATGGGTGAGCGACGACGGCGACGACGACGACAAAAGTGGCGTTAAAATGGAAATTTTCCTCGCACCGTTACAATCTGTGACTGCCGGCAGGAAGTAGGTAGAGGAGGCAGAACAACGCACCAGAGGCAGGAGAAACGTGAGGAGCTGAGGTGTGAGCTGTGGGAAAGTGAGCAGCTACACACAGTTGGCGACAGTGTTGCAACTGGCAGGAGCAGGGCGCTTTTTTGGGCTAGGAATTATGGAGAACACACTTACCAGAGCAAGCCCGAAGGCGAAGGAGTGTGTGCACTCGACAAATGAGCAAATGAAACAGTAATTTAGCGCTCGATGAGAGTTGATCCATCCTAGCAAGCCGGCGTCAAGTGAGGGGCTGGTGATAGCCCAGCGGGTTGCCAAGGGTAAATGGCGTGTTCCGTAATGCGTGCCAGCACCGGATTACTACAAAATGGTAACACCATCACGCGAATTATGGGACGCGGAAATATTGTTGTTTGACATTGTGCTTGAGCAAAGGTTGCCCCTAATTGTATCAAGCTGTGTTTGCTTCAATTAATGGTTTGGTGGCATACTTAATGCGATAGGGGGGGAATGGCTGTTTGATGGTTCATTTGCGGAAGGTATTTCGGTGATGGTGAGTCTGTATAATCTATAGACTATAGTCGGGAACTTTCTGGTTGATTTGCATCGGATTTTTTTTTATATAATGCGTTTATTTGTCCAGGCTCATTTGCCGTAGCTTTGCGGAGCCGATATTCATCGTCAGGATTACAAAGTTACTTAAAACTAACGTTAGTAAAGCGGGGGCCGATAACTCGCAGCTATCCCGAGGTTAGGGGTAACAAATTGTAACAAACGGATGGCAGGGTAGGGGTTGAGAACACAAGGTTTTTTCGAGCAATGTGCTCTTGATCTAGAACTAAACGACATACTGGAGAAAAGACGAACATAGAGGTACACCGATGGGGACCTAGCAACATGAGAGAACACAAGATGACACTAACTACTAAATCCTCAGATCGATCCGTTTTAAAAACACATAAATTAAATTAAAATAATGGAGATCTCGGCTCGCCAAGATGTCTCTAACGGGCCACAAAGGTTGTTTTCCTCGGGCCCTGAGGGATGCGGATAACTTGGATCTAGCAACAAAATGTAGGGTGCATGACCAAAGCACGTGGTCGATATCATGATAGTCACTACCGCAAGCGCACAAATTGCTGCCTGTGAGCCAGATTCGAAAGAAATGCGAGTCTAACGAGCAGTGATTGGACATGAGCTGGATTATAGTTTTCCTGAAACATCTTAGGGGAAAGATTTCTAGGTTTTAATTTAGACGCTAAATTTAGATGCCAGTTACAAATTTACTTAGAACCCAAAACATGCCGTTTTTCTAATTCGTTTATTTGTTCAGGTTCAAATGTTTATAAAACTATACGGATCCGATTACAAACAATTTGTTTGACCAGCAAAAGAAGTTAGGTAAAGTTTTCTTTATTAGAGAGGCTTTCAGCCTGAGGCTGGTTCGCCTCCGGACCAGCAAAAGAAAATATTAGGGTAATAATGTCAGTTCATTTCTTCCTGAGAGCTAACTGCTTGCTGCTTATATTCTACCGCGCCCACAACTTTCTTCAGTTTACCTCTCTTTACTCACTGCATTGTTGCTGTTTCCACCTACTCTTTTTGGTAATGGAAAAAACTGTGACTGCTGTTCCTGGTTTCCGCTGGCTTGTCCTCCTTTCCTGTACTTTCCGGCCTCCGGGGTCATCGATCGGGGTCGATTACCATCAACTCATCATCTAGCAACTCAATTGCTTTCGCTGTGGCACCTCCGGCTACCACAGCTGCTACCGCTCCGATCTTCATCCATGTCTTGCTTTAGTTCTTCGTCCTGTTGTTGCTTCTCTGGCTGCTTTCGAGTCTTCCGTGTTGAGAAGGAATTCATCCAGTGTCACTCCATCTTAACAAATCAAAACAACAGAATATATTCCCCTTCCGATTAAGGGAATGCAGCAGTCCGACAGCTCTGCGAAACTTCACCATATTTCCATCAGCACAATGTAAAATGAATCTTCAGGCTTGAATTTTATGAAAAGTGCTTCCTCCTCCGCAATCCGGTAAGTTGCTTCCATCTGAAGGCGATCACAACCAGTGCTTAAACGAAATTAGCAATTTCTCACACGGTGGGCTCTCCAGTGATCTTTATACTGAAATGCTATGATGCCTTGTTGCATGATCATGTTGGAAAGTAATAATTGAAGTACGCAATTGGAAAGTTGATTAATTGAGTTAAACAAAAAAAAAACCTTCTCGTTTATTTTTTGTTTTGTGACGGAACAACAGTTTTTTTTTGTAATTGGGTTTACTTTAATAATACTCAATTAATGTAGAAAAAACTACAAGGGACAGCCCTATGGAGTTGTACGCAATGGTGACGAAGGACTACGTGGTCTTATATAATAAATCTTATTTGTTAACTGCAGCAGGAGCTTGTGTTTTGTATATGAATAGGAATTTGAGCTCTGGTTATACTCTTTTGTATGACGCGCTTGACATGTCAAAATGCCGTCCAAGCAAGAAGAGCAGCGTGTAAAAATTTTGCTCGCGCATCGCGAAAATCCGAGCTACTCGCACGCAAAGTTGGCAAAATCGCTAAAAGTTGCCAAATCAACCGTTACAAATGTAATTAAAGTGTTTGGGGAACGTTTGTCGACAGCCAGGAAGTCTGGATCGGGGGGAAATCGAAAACCGGAAGCCGCTGAGACGACAAAGAGAGTTGCCGGTAGTTTCAAGCGAAACCCTAACCTCTCTCTACGAGATGCCGCAAATAAGCTGGGTGTATCGTCTACAACCGTGCATCGAGCCAAAAAACGAGCCGGACTATCGACTTACAAGAAGGTAGTGACTCCAAATCGCGATGATAAACAAAATACGACGGCCAAAGCGCGATCCTGGAGGCTGTACACGACGATGCTGACGAAGTTTGACTGCGTGGTAATGGACGACGAAACCTACGTCAAAGCCGACTACAAGCAGCTTCCGGGACAGGAGTTTTATACGGCAAAAGGAAGGGGAAAGGTAGCAGATGTTTTCAAGCACATGAAACTGTCAAAGTTCGCAAAGAAATATCTGGTTTGTCAAGCCATCTGTACCTGTGGCTTGAAAAGCAGCATTTTCATAGCTTCCGGGACTGTCAACCAAGAAATTTACGTGAAAGAGTGTTTGAATAAACGTCTGCTGCCTTTCCTGAAGAAACACGGTTGTTCCGTACTGTTTTGGCCGGATTTGGCATCTTGCCATTACGGTAAAAAGGCCATGGAGTGGTACGCCGCCAACAACGTGCAGGTGGTTCCCAAGGACAAGAATCCTCCCAACACGCCAGAGCGTGTCAATTTTGTCAAGCGGAACCTAAAGAAGACCAAAAAAACTGCTAATGGCGAGCAGCAGTTCAAGGCAAACTGGCTTTCTGCGGCGAAGAAGGTGGACAAGGTGGCTGTACAAAATCTGATGGCAGGGGTCAAGCGTAAGGCCCGGCAATTCGGATTTGGAAAAGCGGAAGCCTAACTGAATATTTTTCCTGAATTTTATACTAATTGAACTTGAAAAAGAAATTTAATTTGATTTTTTAAATAAACGATTTCACCGATTTACACGCGTTTTCCCTTGACCAAATTTTGACCGTATCACCCTTTACCCAGCGAAAAACAGAATCCTGGAGTTCTGGTAGTCGCTCTCCTAACGAAACTTATTACCAGAATCAAAGAAGTGAATGCCTCTATCCCCAGGAAGAGATCCACTCCTGATGATACCCAGAATGACGGAACAGCAAGCTCGATTCCTTCTGAAAGTGTCCAGCTGGTGTTTACTGTAGTTGTCGGTAGATTCACAGTGACCTTCGGCAGCACCAAGAAGCTCATATTGCGTGAGAAATCTGAAATCCGGGACCGTATTTCAGCCGATATCCGATGTTTGACCTTGGTAGCTGCCTGACCAATACCCAGAACTGAAATATCTACCCTTTGACGCGTGACCTTCAAGCGTTGACTAAGACGCTCGGAGATGAAATTACTTTCTGAGCCAGAATCCAGAATGCGATTGTCATCGTTATCCTAAACGACGACGACTGCCGTAGCAAGCAAAACCTTCGACGAGCATTGATGGGCTGTGCCTGCCACCAAGCTGTCGTTAGCTGCCTTGTTAGATACTTGTTGATGGGGAAGAGGATGAAGCTTTCAATGCTTCCTTGGATACGGTGCTGCCCTTGGTTGACCTCGTATTGGAGTTTCTTTCCGGCTTAAAGCAGATCAACGTATGATGGCGTCCCCGTCGAAAGCAGTTCCTGCACAACGAATGCGATCGAAGTATCAAATCCCTATCTGTCACCGACATTCGTTGGAATGAACCACACTGGAATAACGGATGCTTTCCAGAGGATGCCAATGTCCTCCAAACGTCTGAACCATGTTGAAACTAGTCCTCACTGCAGTTGGCTTCTGCTTTGCAGGAAGTTATGGATGGGATTGTTTGGATATCTCGATTGTCTTGGAGGGTAAGGACTCCAAGATGCGAACCCGTCGTTGAAGGAACTCCAAAAATTCCTTGATAATGTCTTTTTCCTTAGTGGAAGAGGACACTTGCCAACCTCGATCAAT